CGGACCCTGGCGCAACCTCGACCGTTAACAGAAGCTGCTTTCAAGTCTGGCGCAATAACAAACTCCACCCCGGCGGGAACCGATGCTGCTAATCTGCCACCCTGGTCAATCACAAACATCATGAAACGTCTCCTCAATAGAAACGTTCTCCGGGGTCCGTCCTGCCAAACACAATTGCCGCAATCCAATTCATACTGCCTGCGCACCAGGAGAATAATATCACTATACAAATGCCCTGCAGAAAATGTCGCCAAAGCTACTCTACACAATGATGAGCACATGTTTACCTTTGAGTTTGCCGCTGGCGGACCTTGCTTGGCCTGACACAACAGTGTCTAGAACAAAAGGGACAGCAAGAACCGATGGGTGAGGAAAGATGCAGGCACATGCGATTACCTATATATGCCACCGCAAACGAATCTTCCCAAGACTGTCTTGCCCGTTTATATGGTCGGGCAGTTCCACAGAGATCCATGTCCATCCTGTCGGCTAAACACACTGGATGCACCTACCTTGCAAACGACGACTAGTGACTAATACTCAACTGCAATAGCAAGCAGCCAACCCGCGTGATCATCTGGAATACGATAGCGCAGTAATCAACCAGCGCTACCGGCCATATCATGTATGCAAAAGGCACTCCAAGACGATACGATTATCTTCAGGACAACGCGCCACGACAATACGTCAGGTTCATTGTCATGTCGCATACTTTCTAGCGAGTGCAGTGATCATTCGACAGCATCGAAACAAGATAGCAAACCTGGCGCAGTCGCGGCGGTTAACAGCAGCTGCTTTCACATCCGGCGCAACCTCAAACTCCAAACCGGCCAACACCTGTGCAGCACGCCACCATCTCTGGTCACCGACGAACATCGCGAAACGTTTCCCCAACACTCAGGCGTTCTTGGAGGTCAGTCCTTCCGAACATATATTGCCTCAAACCAATACCTACTTCCTGTATTCCAGGAGAGTAATATCACTATACAAATGCACTGCATACAATGTCTCTAAAGCTGCTCCACAACGTGTTTAGCACTTATTCAACGATGTTCCTTTCCTCTAACGGACCTTGCGTCGCCTGACACTACAGAGCCTAGAGCAAAAGGACGAACGAGAACCGAGGTATGGGGAAAGATTCAGGCACAAGGGATTCATTGTATACGCCACGGAAAACGAATCTTACCAAGACGGTCTTGCCCGTTTAAACGGTTTAAATCGGTCAATTCCGCAGAGATCCGCATCTATCCTTTCAGCAAAACACACTGGATGCAACTACCTTGCAAACGACGACCAGTGGCGAAGAACCTAGTGCAACAGCAACCAGCCAACCTGTTAATTCAGCTACTATAGGACCTTGCAGGAATCTAGCTCCTCCACAGGCCCTACCAAGAGTGTAATAGGCACTCCAAGACGATACGATTATCTTCAGGACGACGCGCCACGACAATACGTCCGGTTCATTGTGTTGTCACATACTTTCTAACGAGTGCAGTGATCATTTAACTGCATCCAAACACGATAGCGAACCTGGTCCAACCGCAGCGGTTTACAGCGGCTGCTTTCAAATCCGGCGCCACCTCAAACTCCACCCCGGCGGGAACCGATGCAGGTCGCAATCAGCCGCCCTGGTCAATCACAAACACCATGAAACCTTTGCTCACTACAAATGTTCTCCGGGGTCCGTCCTGCCAAACACAATTGCCGCAATCCAATGCATACTGCCTGTATGCCCGCACAGTAATATCATTATACACATACCCTACATACAATGTCGCCAAAGCTACTCGGTAACTTGTTTAGCACTTTTTCAACGATTGTGCTTGCCACTAACGCACCGTGCTTCGCCTGACACACCAGTGTCTAGAACAGAAGAGCCAACGAGAACCGACGGATGGAGAAAGATTCAGGAACAAGCGACTACCTCCATATGCCGCGGCAATTGGAGCGGTGTAAGCGCTGGCCCTGAGCAGCCCACAGTCAAAGGCTGAGTGCATGAGCTATCGCCACCCGTCAATACGGCCCAGTGGGATCCAACGCACACATTTCAGCTTACGCCGTTCAGTCAGGAGATACTTCCTTTCCCCTTCATGATTAGGTACGTCCTGCATGCTGCTACGCCTCCAAAGCCACAGCAACTAACACAGCGCTTCAACCACTCTCGATCCAAAGACCAGCAGGCTTCAACTGGTATCTGCATGGGTCGCCACATCAGCTAGATAGGGAACCGATTTAACTCTAAACACTATACGTGTCTCGGAGAAATTGTTTTTGTTTGCTGTTGCACCTCTTGGGGAGAGCAGGAGACACCACTTCCGTTCACTCCACACGTGGACGCTCAAGGACTGCCTGGCGATTTAAGCCTCAGCACGAGGGTGACAACCATGCCGAAGTGGCCCACGGATCTTTAGAACGTAAACGATATGCGTTTTTAAAGTCAATATCTTTCCGATCCAGAACACTTATACAAACCACTGCTCACCTGCTCAAGCTGCAAAAGGGTTTTCACAAGTAGCCTTGCGCAAGATGTAATCCCCACCTTGCTTTGGACCCACAAATATATTACTGCGCAACCGTCACAGAACACCAAGGAGTGAAGCATTCGACATTGAGATTTGTGGGTATGTGCTGTACCTATGAAACGCTCAACAGGCATAGGGCTACACTTAGCTCCCTACAAAGCTGGGTCATTTCCCCTCGAAAATCAAACTCTTCTGCAGCAGTGGAGTAGCCTTTTGTCACCGAGACCGTCTTCCATTAGCTGGCGTGGCTGCAACCTTCAACGACCTGGGAAACTGCAGTATCGCCTTAACTCGCGGATATATTTGGCACTATTACAAATCATGCTGATACACCAGCTTTCTTTGTGTGCAGCAGGTCGTGTGTATCTGTCGCAGTTGACATGCAGTGTGAACACTGTTGGGCCAACAGGGTTCCTGCCCTAAACTCCAGGGCAGACGTTTGTCGTCTTCCATGCCCCAATAAAGACCGCACCCAAGCAATCACTATTGTTGCCTTAGAGGTCGATATTGAAAGAGTTAGCAAATCGGCCGGGCTCAGAAAACCAAAGTGTAGGCCAAACTCAAAATCATCTTGTCCACGGGGCAGACGCCATATCATTCGTCCTACTGACACTAAATAAATCCGGTGTCGTGTCCTCCTTGCTGCTGACACTCACCTAATTTTGGATTGGTTCTCGCCACCCTTTACAAGCAGGCTTGTCGTGGCCAAGATGCATTTAAACTCTCCTTGCATACAAATCACCACGCAACATGCATGGAAGAGGCATGCTTATACATTGAGACACGCGTTCGACAGGCTGCAGCATTCACCCCGAAGGCACCCAGATCCCTCCCAAATGCATTGTTTGCCATCATTCGCAATAGCCAACAGCCTGATTCCAGGCGCACTCAGTTCGGACCACCCCAGCAATTCAAGACAATACACCAATCAAGGCTTCGCGTACAAGCATCCCCCGATAGACACAAATGGCCAACAGACTGCATCAGCCGAAGCAAGCAATTGTACAAGGCGGTAGCCTAGCTTTCAATTATTTCGCACTACGGCTCTTCGTTCCACATATATACGAGCGCTTTTCTCCTAACTCACTCGAAGAACCTACTACACATGACCGTAAAAGAGGGCGGAGTCTGTGCGAGCCCTCGCCTAATGTATTTTAGGTAGTCGCGCACTCTGTCTGGCGTCCTACAGCAGACCAACACGACGCAGTCAAATGACTAACGCCAGGACGCACAGCCTAGTTGCCAAGAGAGCAAACAAAGCCGTTACCATTGATATGCGAGTTCATTCCAACAATGCCTTCACCCTGCAACACTGCGATGTACGCTATGTGGAGAATCAACCAGTTCAACAACACACCACTGCTCTGAACCAATCGCATGCGGTGCTGGTTTCAACAATGATTCCAATACCGCAACAAGAGGAACGCATACCTTTTCACCACATATAAGACAAAACAGCTACATCAGGTTGAATCCACTGTCTCTGCAAGGGTCTCATTTACTGTTGATACTAGTACTGGAAAACAAGATTTCTAGTGGGATTTGCAGCTGTTGTCGGGAACCCCCACACAACCTCTAAAGCCTGCGCACGACGCGTAAACAGATATTCACTATCTACATCCTAAACCAAAACGACAACGGTATAGCAGCAAGCGAACAGTAAGCAAGAGCAAGGGCAGTCA